CATCACAGCATCACAGCACCGGCCCCACTCCCCCTTTTTTAAAAGTGATTTTTGATTTCATCATGTGAAATAAGAGAAGGAATGCAAGTTCCTTCTAAGACTGTGATTCAACACTGTCACCCTCTTTTAAAGTTCTTTTGTGTGTGTACTTATGTTTAAAGATATGTTATCAGTAACCATGCTGACTGTATGAAGCACTGCATTAATAATTAGAGTGGAAATAATGCATTTTAACCACAGTTCTATACATTATAAAACCTATGTATCAAAATATGTTGAGTGTATTTCCATTGTAAATATTCTGAATTTTAAAACTTATTCCTTCAAATCCCTGTATTTTCCTTAATTTTTAATATCACTCTTGTCTTTGGAACTCCACAATTTAAACAATATGTTTAAACATTTTTTCTGTGTTACACTAATATTTCTGTACTTAGTGAACACAAGAATTCATCATATCTGGAAAATCATCTATTCAAATGTTGTCATAGCCGTGTTCTCCATATTTTCTTGTTTTGGAACTCCTATCTTCTAATTCCATGGCTCTTAATAATATTTATATTTTTCATTTCTTTATGTCTCTGCATTTTGGGGATCATCCTCAATTATGCTAAGTTAACCTAGCATTCAGTTTTTTTTTTCATTCACAGATGTTCTATTTATCTGCTTCTTAAAATAAGTCTTTTCCTTAGGATTTGATTCTTCTTTTACACTGGCAGTACTTTATCCACATTTCTATTGCTTCATGTTGTTACAACGTGCCAAATTCTTTAGGATCTAGAATGCCATTAGGTGTTATGTCGACTCTCACACATGCATTATGTCCTCCACTGACTCTCATTCCTTATGGTGAGCATGTCTTTAACAGGACTTGCTTTTGTGAAAACCCTAGGCATTCTGGATGGCTGTTACTATTCTACCATGGTTTTGTGTTTCCCTGTTCTAAGATCCCCAGGGGAATTATCCAGCTTAGACTTTCTAGGTCAGCTAGGTAGTATAAAAAAACAAAAACACATGGCATGCAGGCCCCGGATATGAAATGCTAACTTCTTTCATGAAGTTTCTGTTCTTAATCCATGCCAGTGTGCACATTTTTCTAGCCTAACTTTTTGTCAGGGTTGTCTCAGTTCCAGCTCTCTGCCTACTCTGGCTCCAAGCCTTTACTTTCTTTGTGTTTTATACAAACATTACACTCCAAGCTCCTTGGTTGTTGGGACCCATAACTCTTCAGTGCAGTCACAGCATCACTTCACAATCCACACTCCAGTGTTTAATCCCTGTGTTCCTGAAACAGAGTCATCCCTTCTATTTCTTACAAAATTGAGTAATTCTTTAAAATCACTTAAAATATTTTCCAGTATTGCTAAGTGTGTGTAACCGTAAGAGGTTTAGAATCTTTCAGTCTACCTAAGTACCAGCTCACAGTTAACTGCTTCATCATCTATAATTAATCAAGTAGTTCCTCCCAAAGTTTAGTTGGAGCGTGATTCAGATCTTGAGACTACATATTTGTGTGTGTTTCTGTGTGTGTGTGTGTATGTGTATGTGTATCTGGGATTCGTCCCCATGTTCAGAAGTGATGTCCCAGAGACCTCTGTTTTAATTGTAAATAAAGCAAATGTAATAGACCTCCAGGGATCCTGGTAGGCCATGGACTTTTCTCTCTAATCGCCATTACAAACTGATCACAATACACAGTTTTAACTGATTTTCAATTGAAAGCAGCAAAAAGAGAAAAGCTGTATTTTTTCTCCCAAATTCCATTTCAAAATGTTACTGCTTGTACTATTAAAGTCAGACTGTGTTATAGCTCTCAAACAAGATAATTTAGCACAATTCTCAGCAGTAAAAGTTCCCTAAACATATATAAAAAACTTTCTACAGGAGTAAACTGTGAAACTGAATTTGAGTTTAGTAAAAATCAGAGAATTTATCCTACAAAATGGCAACTTACAAAGATTTGGGATTTCAACGATGTGAGAAAATGGCAACATATATATCTACAGCATTCCAGTGATCGCCCTGACTACAGCTCCCACTCGGAAAAAGTACCTAATATTGCTTAAATCACAAGTCAAAGTATATGAAAGTGTCTATGCGTACTCTCAACCAGAAACAAGTAATTTTCTTTAGTTTTCGCTCATACATCACAGGTGTGAAGTATTATGATTTATTGCTTACAATTTTTTTCAGTTATTTGCTTATTCAGTTGAAAAAAAATAAAAGCTTTGCCAGAGAAAACAGCACCTGAAAAGTAAGTTTAAAATCATTTGAGGGGGCCAGCGCCGTGGCTCACTATGCTAATCCTCCGCTTGCAACGCCGGCACATCAGGTTCTAGTCCCGGTCGGGGCGCCAGATTCTGTCCTGCTTGCCCCTCTTCCAGGCCAGCTCTCTGCTGTGGCCTGGGAGTGCAGTGGAGGATGGCCCAAGTGGTTGGGCCCTGCACCCACATGGGAGACCAGGAGAAGCACCTGGCTCCTGGCTTTGGATCGGCGCAGCGAGCCAGCCGCAGCAGCCATTGGAGGGTGAACCAACAGAAAAAGGAGGACCTTTCTCTCTCTCTCTCTCTCTCTCTCATTGCCTAACTCTGCCTGTCCAAAAAAAAAAAAAAAAATCATTTGAGGGGCTGGCACTGTGGTGCAGCAGGTTAAAGCCCCGGCCTGAAGCGCCAGCAACCCATATGGGCGCCAGTTCTAGTCCCAGCTGCTCCACTTCCAATCTGGCTCTCTGCTATGGCCTGGGAAAGCAGTAGAAGATGGCCCAAGTTCTTGGGCCCCTGCACCTGCAAGGGAGACCTGGAAGAAGCTCCTGACTCCTGACTTTGGATCGGTACAGCTCCAGCCATTGACTCCATTTAAGGAGTGAACCAGCAAAAGGAAGACCTCTCTCTCTGTCTCTCCCTCTCACTGTCTGTAACTCTACCTCTCAAATAAATGAATAAAATCTTTGAAAAAAAATTTTTTAAAAATCATTTGAAATATTGATTCAGATAAGATCAAATTCTTAATTCAAGAATTTCCTTCAACATGACATGGGGCAGTCTACATTACAATTGAAGCCCATTAAAATGTTTCTACTCATCCCTCTGCTGCTCAAGTCTATCCACTAAGAGAGACCTGGAATTCCTGAACCAAGGGAAATTATTTTTCTCTAAATAGTAGATAATATAAAGAACTAGAAAATTCCTTTAAGCAGTAAGTCACATTTAAAGACCATTGGGGAAAATTTTCAGAAAACTTGGAGTTAATACCTTATTTATAGTCTCTCTCTTTGCTAATATATAACCACACTTATCCCACAGACACAGTAGCCACTGAGTGTAGAAATTATAGAATTAGAAACCAAAGATTTTGTTCATGGGACAGTCTAATTTTAGAAGGCAGTATACCTCTATTAACTCGCTTGGTTTGACCAGAAAACATATAAGCTTCAGACTTAATAGATCTCAATTCAAAATCATCTTTTTAAGAACTGTATTTGTATTTTAAACATAGACTTTCAAAGAAAAATTGAAAATAGTTGCATTTGGAATATCCAGGATTTTTTTTCTTGGTATATAGCTCCTTTCCCTTCAGAGTGTGATATATAGACAAGCAGCCTCTACATCATCTGAGATATGGCCAGAAAGACAGAGCCTCCCACTGCACCTAAGGCCTATTGAGTCGGCAGCATTTGAACAAGATCTCTAGCTGATCCGAACGTCCACAAGTCTGTACTGCCAGACTTTAAAAATATATATGTTCTAATTTGATGTCAAGTGTAAGATTTCTTTTGAGGGTGAAGAAATGTCCTGGAAACACATGTTACTTGTGATTGGACAACTTAATGGATGTATTAAAACAACACTGTACTATGACTTGAATAGGTAGATTTTACAGTCTGTGAATTATATCTTTCTAACTGCATTGCAAATAGATTAGATAAGTGGAACCATTTCCAGCATTTTTTTTCTATGCTCTTACTGGAAACAAACAAACAAAAAAAATAGACGTATCATTTCCTGGGGCTCATCTCTTAGGGCGCATGGGAACCACAGTGCCCTTCGCTCCGGCCAGCCCCGACCAGCGCCCATCCACCAGCAAGGCCCACTGGGCATCTGTGGGCTAGACCCTCCCTCCACCTAGAGCTGCCTGCAGAGCTGGAGAACTGCTTGCTGAGGGACCGCAGGCGGATGGACGTGACAGGTCCGGAAATCTGCTCATCCAATCAAGCCGAGGGGCGAAGAAGCGGAAACGGTATCTCCAGCTGCATGTGTGCCCACAGGCCTGCGCTGAAGGCAGAATTTCTTCTCAGTTCCACCCTCTGCCAATCTCCCTGCCACCTCTCAAAATCCAGATTCTTAAAGAAAGTCTCTCAGTTGCTCCGAGGGCACTCCACAAATGACCCCGCCGGCGCCCTCGCTTCATCAACTCGGAGCCCCCAGCCGGCACGGCGAAAGGATTTCTGCCCCGGATGCCCCAGATAAAAAAGCGTCTCGCTGCCTGCCGGTGCAGAAGCCCAATGGTTCTGGCTCCCCAACTTAACCCCCAGGTCCCGGGCGGGAAGGCCGGGGACTCAAATGCACTCCCTCCTGCGCGCACCTAGGAACTTCGAGGCTGTGCGCGCCTGCTGAGGGGCTGAGGCAGGCGACAAGCGCGGGTTCCCGAGTTCCCTGAGGCGGCCCCAGTCATCCCCGCCGCACAGGCTCGGAGTCCTGGGGGGCGCACCTCGGAACACCTACCGCTGTTCTCATCGCGCCTGTTGCGCGGCGAGACTGAGTCTTAGGGGATCAGAGTGACACAGGTTGAAGAAATGGCCCAGCCTGGTCACCTGGAGTGGAGTTGGAACCCTGCTCGCTCGCTCGCTATCTCTTTCTGTCTCTCCCTCTCTCTCTCGTGGGCAAACAAACCCTGCGCTCGGACTCGCCAGTGCTGGCTCTGAGGCGCACACGCCGGTCCCCACGAGCGCACTGCCTCCCGCCGTGCAGCCCGCGCCCGCCGGCCGCACTGCCCGCACTTACAAGCTGGGGTAGTAGGCGTAGGGAGGCAGCGGGAGCTGCGGGCAGCCGTCGTCTCCCAGCTCCGAGTCCATGAGCAGGTAGTCCTGGCTCTCGTTGCGCCGCGCGCCGGCTCCGGCGGCGGCAGGGCAGCCCCTCCGGGGCCCGAACGCCGGGCTCTGGGTCATGGCCGGAGCGTCGGACAGGTCTGGGGCCGGCTCCCGAGGGAGGCGTGACGGCACCTCCGGCCGGGACCCGCTGCGGAAGGGTCGCGTCACCCGCCGCCACGCCGGTCCTGAGCAAACTGGTGCCCAAGGGACAGAGGGTGAGGTAGGGGTGTAGACGGCTAGCGGTCCCGGCTCCGCGACTGGCTCTCCTCGCCCGCGCGGGGAGAAAGCACACTTAGGGAGACGCCAGGGGGCCTCGGCCCGAGCGCGCGCGGCCGCTGAGCTCCGGGAGGGGGCGGCCGGGGCTCCGGGCAGGGAGAGCGCAGGCGGGGCGGCGGGCGGCAGCGGAGCCGGAGGGCACAGGGCCCCGGGCGACGGCGCTGGAGTTTCTATGTCAACCGCGACTCCAGCCCTCGGCTCCCGCCTTCTTCCCCCGCATCCTCCGTCCTGATCCCCGCCTTTAAAGGGATCGGAGCGACGTTCTCGAAAGCAGCCAAAACCTGCCCTGTCGCCACAACTTTCGGGGGCAGGAGGAACCTACACTAGGCGGAGCCAGACACGCAATTTGGGGGCGGGGGCGGGGTCACTGCTTTCAGGGTCTGCTGACCGAGTTCCAACACAAACGGAGGACTTTCTAGGAAGCTTCCTTTAAGTCACACGCGAACGATCAAGGAAACCTGTTTCTTAAGAGGGGTAGGATCCTTTCCTTTCTCCAGACTGTCTTCATTTCCTGGGGTACTCTAATTCTACCCCCAGCGCCCGAAATTACTAGGACTCAACCCTTGACTTTAAAACAAAAACGTTCTGTGTGCCCCTCACCAGATGTCCCCGGGTCCGAGCATAGCAAAAAACATAAGCAAGCATTTTAAGATGATAAACACCAACAGCCTGCTTACCTCAGAGAAAAATGCTCCTGCCAAGCAGAATTATTTGCCCGATGTTTCTCGCATTCCCAAATTTATTCATTTTAAGACTTAGTTTTAAATTCTGATTAATCTGCATACAAATGAGAAGTAAAACTTCTCAACAGAGATGCATCAGAAGTTGCTGTAGTTCAAGCAGCAATAAATGAGGAATCTATCCATCCATTCCGCAAGTATTTAATGAATGACCTCTGCCTGCCAAGCACTGTTACAGGATTGATTCAAGGGGCAAAAGAATCATCTGCCCTCATACAGCTTTCATGGAGGAGAATGAGACAGCGATTAAACAAGCCAACTAAGGAAGTTGAAGGTTACAATGAAAATAAAACAATTTGATGTGATGGTAGCTGGCTATTGACCACTTCATAGGTGGTTGAAAGAAGTCTTTCCACGGAAAAGCTGGTTAAACTGAGACTACATGGCAAGGAGCCACCCAGGATAAAAGATAAGAAGCCTGTTGCAACTGGATTGAAGACTGCCAGATATCTAAAATCCTGTCTGTAACGATACCTTTGCCACTCCTGAACAGGTAGACAATGCAATGGAGGTTGCAAGTGTGAACAAAAACAATTCACTTTATAGGGCAGAAATGAGATCACAAGTTTAGAAAGTTCTGACTTCGCTAGTACACTAAGAACCAAAGCTAAGAGAGAAGATAAAATAGTACACCCTGAGGGAACAGCTTTGTATGCAGCACAGCTATGTAGGATGGATGGATGGATGGATGGATGAGTGGGTGGGTGGAGAAGGTATTTTTAATGAAGAAGAAAACATTCTTGGCTACCTCAAGAGCATTTACCCTGAAAATCTAACCTAGATAATTCTTGTCTGTTAGTCCTCTCAATATGTGGAGCTGTAATTCACCATCTTACTATTTCCAAGTGATGAAACGTACTCTTTAGAATTTGTTGATGGCAACTGCCAACTCTAAGTACTCAACAGTTTTGGTGTTTGAATAAATCAGTTAGTAAAGGTTGCATTTAAATAGTTCCCATGTAATCTGTTTGGGAACTCAAAATATGGGAAGCAATTTAGTGGGGAAAGTAATATTCATATATTTTCTACGCAATTCAAATTCTATGACTTCAAGCAAAGTTAGAAAACACTGACAGTGTTAGCTGAAGTGTTAGTTCTTAACAAAAACAAAAATTGAGAGAATTTATTTTGTTTTTATGTAGTTAAATTATTTGTGTCATTTTTATAACACTGTTTTTCATTCGCAGGTAACAGCATTCACACTGAAAAAATTATTACAGTAAACTTAAAAAGTGACATCAGTTTATCATTTGGCAAGATAAGACATCTTTTCGATGCTATTTGATATACAATGACTTCTAGACCAGTATAACCCAGGGTATCTATCACGTTCTCAGGAGAAGGTCAGGTACAAAATATCAGAAGATTCTGGCAGAGTTTATGATGTGATAGAGAAAGACTGGAAGCCTGGAAACTGGGATTTCATCTGAGCCGCTTCCCCAACTGGCTATGTGATTTCAGGGGGGTAGATCTGATCTCTGTGCCTGTTTATTCATCATATGCAGATATATAATTACTAAAGACCTGTCAGTCTCTAACTTCTTGCATTCTATAGCCATCTATGAAATGTTAACTCTTTACATTAAAACACAACAAAACCAATAAAGAACATTACAGTTTCTCCATCAAATATTTTTGAATCATGTATAGAAATGTTGAATAGAATTGGAGCAATGAAAAATAGTCCTCAAAGTTAAAAATGGCTGGATGATGGGGCCAGTGCTGTGGTATAGTGGATTAAGCCACTGCCTGCAGCACTGGCATCCCTTATGGGAAGTTCAAGTCCCAGCTGCTTCACTTCCAATCCAGCTTCCTGCTAATGTGCCTGGGAAAGCAGCAGAGGATGGCCCAACTGCTTGGGTTCCTGCACCCACAAGAGAAATCCAGAAGAAGCTCCTGCCTTCTGGCTTCCCTCTGGCCCAGCTCTGACCTTTGTGACTGTTTGGGGGAGTGAACCAGTGGATGAAAGATCTCTTTTGCATTTTCTCCCTATCTCTCTGTAACTGCCTTTCAAATAAATAAATAAATAAATGTTTAGAAAATAGCTGGAGAGGGAACTTGGAGTTTTTATGAAGTTGATAATAGCAGGATGAAATTTTAGGTTACATATGTTTAAGTAGTATGCTTATATTTTTGAAATAAAAGAGCATTTTTGGTAGTTGACTCAGAAATGTGAGAATGAAGGTAGGCTATGTGTGTACGGAGAGAGGGGTTCATTGAGAAAGGATTTTCTCTTCATTATACACATTGGCACTTATTGACAGACTGATTTTTACAAAAACAAATACTGCAATTCTAACACAGTATCTGAAAAGCCAATAGGGACAGAAATAAATAGACTGTCCTCTAGAAGAGCTCAGGCTAGGAGCTCAAGAGAAAGAAGAAGAAATTGCTACTGGGGACAGAAAGGGGAGAAACTGTTATGAGTGCTTCATGACTCAAGCAGCTGCTGAGAAGGAGTCGCACAGAGGACTTGGGACAGCTGCAGTCTGTGAAGTGCACTTGCTGATGGGAAACCACTAACACAGGAACCTCCTGGGAAATGCATTTCGGGGTGAGATGGCCAGAGCTACAAAGAAAAGTTTACTCACAAATTCATCTGGCTATTCTGACTTGTAACACATATAGAATCCCAGGGGGAAAAGCTAAAACAGAACATCCTGGAAGCTTCAGAAGAACTGAAAAAAGGTCTTAGGTTAATTCTAGTTTGAGTGAAATAGGAGCAGGTGCTACTAGGACTTTGAACCTCAATTTCTTAATTTTTATAGTAAAGGGATTATGACAGTTACATTTGCTGTCTCTCACAGGTCAAATGTTATGTTATTAACTATAAGGGACAAAAATTAAAATTAAGACAGCAATCTTTTATCCAGGCATAATCTATTTTAATTTGTGCTCTAATTCAAGCTTTGACATAGATGTTGTCCAAAATTCTCATGTTGCCATATGAATATTTTGTAAGCAGTTGTAATGAGTTCATGTTTACAAGACATGTTGAGCTAAATTTATTTCTCTTTTGATAGAATTATTATGAGACTTTCAGTAAACTATTTGCCAAGAGCATTGTGTGATATATTTGTTAACAACTCTGAAAAATATGAAATGGATAACAGAGGAGTGATTCATTAATAGTCATAGGTTGGTGAGAGTACTGCTGCGATTTATAGATAAATGTCTCCTAGATTCAGTAAACAAAAACATTTCAAGAATGGATTTAGAGGGCTGATGTTGTGGCATAGCTTAATGGGTACAGCCACCACCTGTGATGCCAGCATCCCATAAGGGCACCCATTCCTGTCCTTGTCCTGGCTTCCAGTCTAACTCCCCACCAGTGGCCTGGGAAAATCAGCAGAAGATGACCAAAGTGTCTCCATGTGGGAGACCTGGATGAAGATCCTGATCCTGGCTTAGGCCTGACCCGACTCTGGCCATTGCGGCCATCTGGGGAGTGATTAAGTGGATGGAAGGTATCTCAATCTATCTCTCCCTCTCTCTCTCTAACTCTGACTTTCAAATACATAAATCTTTTTTAAAAAATGTAAAAGAATGGATTTAGCTAGGGAGTTTTTGTTTGTTTTTATTTTTTAGTTTCCTATAGCTAAACATGTTCAAGTACAGCCTAGGCCTCAATTTTTCTCATGGTATAAATTGATACATGTAGCAAATTGAATAAATACTAATATCCTTTAAGAAAAAGTCTAAAATTCAAAATCTAATCAATATATCTATGGGTACAAAAGACACAGCTCATAGCATTCAAAATTCATTCCTGATTTTTGAAAAATAAGGTAAAAAGTTTAGTAACAGAATAACAGACACATCTTTAATAGGATGAATAAGATCTGTTTTAGATAAAACCAACATGGAGAAATGCGACAGAAGAATGATAATAATTTACTGTAGTTATTAATTAGCTAAGAACTACTACAAACAGGTGAAATAAAAAGAAATAGGAAATGTGTTTGGTACAATTATACTCTAGAAATAACCAGCCAAAACATATTACAGCCTATAAAATACAAAATAAATGGAAATAAATTTAACAAAGAATTTTAAGGCTGTGGAAAGAAAATTATAAAGCTTTATTAATACCTAATTTAGCCGGCGCCGCGGCTCACTAGGCTAATCCTCTGCCTAGCGGCGCCGGCACACCGGGTTCTAGTCCCGGTCGGGGCGCCGGATTCTGTCCCGGTTGCCCCTCTTCCAGGCCAGCCCTCTGCTGTGGCCAGGGAGTGCAGTGGAGGATGGCCCAGGTGCTTGGGCCCTGCACCCCATGGGAGACCAGGAAAAGCACCTGGCTCCTGGCTCCTGCCATCGGATCAGCGCGGTGCGCCGGCCGCAGCGCGCCTGCCGCGGCGGCCATTGGAGGGTGAACCAACGGCAAAGGAAGACCTTTCTCTCTGTCTCTCTCTCTCACTGTCCACTCTGCCTGTCAAAAAAAAAAAAAAAAAAAAAAAAAAAAAAAAAAGAAAAAGCTTTATTAATACCTAATTTAAAATAAATCAGGCTTACATCAGATTGTATAATGTATTTTATTATTAATTTTTTTTGACAGGCAGAGTTAGACAGTGAGAGAG